AAAGAGTGCTGCAATCCCGGCAAGAGCCCAAGCTCCAGCAGGGGCCTGAAAACCAGTGAGGTCAAGGTGGGAAAGCTTCCCCCTTCCACTGCCAGCCCCATCCAAGTGTTCGCAGGATACCTGCAAGTCTTCCTGGCTTGCAGATGCTGCAGTCCAGGGCCAAGGGATGCTCCTGCCATCCCTGAGCTGTTTTCTCTCCTAAGGCTCAGGACAGGGCACTTTGGCAACAGCAGTGTCCGCAGAGCAACCACAGATCCTGCTTTACCCTTGGGCTCTCCCCTTGCTGCACCCCAGCCTCCTGCCCCTCCATTTCCTAGCAATTTCCAGCCCAGTTTGCTCTGATTTCCAGCCCAATTTGCTCTGATTTCCATAGCTCTGCAGCATCATGTGTGCATTTGAAACCTTCAGCAACACAAAAAAGCAGCTCGCCCTGGCAAGGTGCTCCCTGGGATGCTGCAGGGTGGGGAGGGGTGCACCAGGCACAGAGTGTTGAAGTCCCTGCTGTGGAGTGAGAGACCCAAGGGCTTTTGCCACCAGCAGATTTCTCCAGTTTTTATCATCCTTGCACATGTTTCAAAGAGTTTGAGGAAAGAGCTGGTGATCTGAGTGAAATGGCCAAAGTGAGGACCGCCAAGGACACACCAAGACACAACCAGGCTGTATCCATGCACCCAGCATCCTCAACCAGGAGGCTGTGGGTCATCGTGTCCCAAGGACACTGGTTCCTTCTGCCATTGCTCTCTCCAAAAAGCTCAAAGCAGCATTTCAGAGCAGAGACGGGGGCCCCTGAGTCAGCAGAGACTGGCGCCAAAGGAGCGACATCCCCCCACAAACATCCCTCCAGCATCCTGCCGGACCGCCGCTGCGGGGATGCCGAGGGGCCGGTTCCTGCCGGACGCCCCTGGCCGGCTGCTTCCCCTCCCTTTGAACTCGTTTCATCTTCCCCAAGCTGCGAGAGGGAAGTTTGGGCTGGGCAGGGGGACCCCGCTGTGCCCGGCTGGGAAGGACGACAGGACGGGGGTCCTGCCTTGCCGCCGGGTGGGGAGGAAGGATGCAAGAGGGGAGATGTGAGCTTTTCCACCAGCATGAAGGCAGCAAGCCTATTTTAGGTGCTTTCCAGCTGTTTCAAGTGGTTCCTGTGGAGACTGGGGAGTGTGGTACCCTCTGCTCCAGCCTGCTCAACCCGAGCAATGCTCTTGCATCCCTCCAGAGTCAAAAAAAGGCCCCTTGGGGGGAGGCAGCAACCTGCAGACCCCAGCAGCCAGGAGGGATGTGATGCTACTGAGGGGGTTGGGGCAGAGGAAAGGGATTTGGTGGGATCTCCTGATCCCCTGACCATGCTGGGTATGCACTGGGTTTGCCTCCAAGAGCAGGAGGAAGGAGGTGACAACTCAGAGCCATGCAAGACTTCTCTGTGTCCCCCAGAATCTGTTTCCACCTTGAATGGGTGGCATACGGTCCTCTGTGTTTGTGTCAATGGGAAACAGTCATGGGAATGAGAAGGATTCTGGAGACAGAGCATCAGATGCCTCTTGGGCATCTCCCACTGCCACTCTGAGCTACATTACAAAAATCTCAGGGCACCATTTGCTGCCAAATGCCCACCCCTGGGGCCGCAAAGCTCCCGTCCTCCCCCCATTGCTCACTCTCAGGCTGGGTGCATGGGCAGTGGACGGGTCCATGACTTTGCTGAAAGAAGGAGCAAACCTGTAAGCTGTTCCCCCAAGCTTGCAGCCCCCAGCGCCAGGGTCTGCAGGGGCAGACAGGAGCCAGAGTAGGGCTGTGGTGCATCGTGTTCCCCTCTCCCTGCCAAACTGCGCCTCCAGCTGCATCGCTGCCTAATTAAATAGAAAGCCTGGAAACTCCAGTGGTGACTTCACTTCTCCTTCAGCCAACCCCTCCCGGTGTACAGTCCCATTGACCAGTACATGACAGGGATGTGAAAATCCTTGCACTCCCCTTCACAGAACCCGAAATGCAAGTGCTGGCTTGCTGAGGACCTCCAGAGTCGAGAAGGCATTTGCGGGGTGATCAACACAAGGACACAGCAGGGACTCACAGAGCCGCTGTCCTTGCTGCTCCCTCTATGAAATGCATTTCCCTTCCCCGCTGTCCCCTCTCCCTGAGTCTTGGCAGAGCCAGGGCTGCCTCCAGAGAGTGGGGCCATGGATGTGGGGCACCCCATGAGACCCCCTCAGCCACGCCGGGCCACGCATGGGTCATGCTGGTGAGCATCCACTCCATGCCAGCCCTATCTGGGGACCACCACATCTGTGGTGTGCTCACCGTCTGCTAGCCCTGTCTCCTCTGTGCCTGATGCTGGAGGGGATGGATATGGCACTCCAGGACATCATTTAGTGGGCATAGTGGGGTTGGGTTGACAGTTGAACTCGATGATCTTAAACGTCTCTTCCAACCCTAATGATTCTGTGATTCCCTGCTCTGTGTCCTGGCTGTTTTAGGGATGTAGAGATGCAGAGATCCCCCTGCATCTCTCCCCACCTGCAGTGCCCCGGGGGATGCCACCGCTGCCCAGGACCAGCTGCCATTGCTGTCTGTGGAGCTCGGGGGACGTTAGGAGCAACCCCCGAGGTCTCCCAGGTCAAGCAGCCACACGTGTCTCGTTGGGAACCCAAGTCCTGCCAAGGCTCTCAGCACCCAGCACCAATATGAGTACTGGTGGGTTTGGGGTTGTGGTAAGGAACAACACCACAGAGCTGCGATTTGAGCTGTCAGTGCTGTAAAAATGTTTTTGGCGTTGTTTTTTAGCATCTGGCAACAGGTTGGGAGAAACTTGAGTAATTTCAGATTCAGGGAATATTCTTTAGTGGCGTTTTCTGTCCTACGTGCAATTTCCAGTGTTGTTTTGCTGCTGCTGTGTCTAGGGCACAAAAATTACCTAAAAGATCACCACATTTGCCAACTGTCAGGAATTTCCACCAGGGAAAGAAAGAAATATCCAAGGATAAGCAAACAGAAGAGCTGGCGAAGCTGAACATTTCTTGTTGAGGCTACAAAGCCTTTCAATATTAAAGCAGGCTACAAAAAGCCAGAGGAAAGTCTCACAACACCAATAAATGGGGCATGAAATGGGACAACAAAACTCAGGTTGATACTGCATGAGGAAAATCCATCCAAACTTTATGGGGGGTGGCTCTAACTTAATATTGCTCCTAGGAAAGCTCCTGGGCTTAGGGGAGACATCTTCCTGAAAAGGCTCATTTGATCCTCAGAGGGAGGAAAACAGACTGGGTTTGTTAGAAAAATGACTGACGAGAGCTAGGCAGCGTTGCTATGTATAAAGCCGCAGTCCTCCCACACCTGAACCCATCCTCACCACGCAGGGGATGCAGGAGGACCAAAAAAAGCACCAAAAGCAATGACAGGGTGAGAATCGCTTCAATTACACTGACGGGCTGGAAGACAAGGATTTTTTCAGGCTGGGAAAATCACACTTAGGGAGGAAGTGGGGAACAGCCTGTGAAAGCACATGTGGCTGGGAGGTGGTGGGCAGGGACCGTGGTTTTATCCTGTGCCCCCCTCCTTTCCCCCCAAGCCTTATGCTCCTTTGCTGAGCAGCCTGGGGAAAAAAAAAACCCAAAGCAACAGACCTCAGGGGCAATCCCATGGACCTGGGGATGCCGAGACTCCTGGACAGTCAGTTGATCCCAAACCAAGTCTCCTCCTGTCCTTGTCTCCCTGTACAGGAAAGCGATTCCTGCCCCAGGAAGGGTCTGACACTCATTGGGGTCTGGACAGGATCTAACACAAGGGCAGCCCGTGTCTGAACTGCAAAGTTGCCAATGAGGTGACACGAGTTGTGTGCGTGCTCAGCTGCCCTGGCTGGGCTGAGTTTCTAGCAACACTTACGGCAACAAGAGCCATCCTGGGGCTGAGGAGCCCAGCAAAGGTGTCCCTGGCAGCCCAGACACATCCTTGGAGAGACGCAGGGGAAATGGTGACAGCGACAGCGACAGCGACAGCAACAGCGGCAGCGACAGTGACAGTGGCAGTGACAGCGACAGTGACAGCGACAGTGACAGTGACAGTGACAGCACAGCGAGACGCTGAGCTGGGACACGTGAACTGCAGTTGAGTAGCACCGATGCTGAGTGTCACATCCCCTCTCAGCCCCGCTGACACCCCCAGTCCCACTGCAGCACCCCAGCCCCAGAGGCTGCAGCACCACAGTGAAGAGGGAGCCAGCCACAAAGCAGTTAAATATCTCCTTCAGAAGCAGCAGAGTTCAAACAAAGTGTGTGTCCCCCATTTATGCCTCACGTATTTGCTATGGGCTTGGCTTTGACAACAGGTAGAGATGATGAGAAGGCGAAAAACAGGGAGAGGAGTCATTTATGGGGCAGCCACACAGCCAGGGATCTCTCCTGGGTGTGCCTGCCCCATGAGATGCGACTGGCTGTCACTTCTGGTCCCTCAAAACCCCAGAGATGTCCCCCATCACTCCCGAGCTTCTGAGCTCCCCAAGGCAAGGGAAAACCTGGGCTGAAGACAAACCTATCATCAGCTTTCCACTCCCTGAAGCACCCTCCTGGTGCCCTCCCATGTGCGGTGGGATGCACTTTGTCCCGACCACCAGGACCCCGAGAGGGGCTGCCCTGCCCTTCCTGCTGGCTGCCACAGTGTGATCTGCCTGCACACCCAGCACTCCTTGAACTCCCAAGTGAAGCTGCCGGAGGCTTCAAGACAACCCCCTCAGCCCAGCCTGCCCCAATTGCTGCTGCAGGGACCTTTCTCCCAGAGCTTCTCCAAGAGTCTGGGACATCCTCACTCCCTGTTAACCTCCACAGCAGCCACCACAGAGCCTGTCCCGTTGCGATTTCCTACCTGACGGGGATCTTCACCCGCAGGTATCGATCCACGGCGATGGCCAGGAGTGCCAGGATGGAGCTCT